GGGAGGACAGGGGCCGGCTCTCACCCCCCACCCGCGCTCCCTCCCTCCCGTGGGAGCCGGGGGGGTGTGTGTGTGTGTGACTTTACCCCCCCGCCACGCCGTGCTGCGGGCGGCAGCCGTGACCGTAAACTCCTTCCCCAGTCAGGACTGTGACATTCAGCCTCACCCCCCCGCTCCCGGGCATCCTCCGTGCCCCACCACGGTGCCCGCGGGGAGCCCCGTCCAGGGCCGGGCTGTGCCCTCGCCTCAAAACCGGCCACGGAATTGTCACGGTCCTGCGGGAAAGCGGAACCCACCCTTTCCGACCCCTCCTTCCACCCGTGTTAACGGGAAAGTTCTCCGCGAGGAGCTGAGGGTGGAAACCCGACGGCCTCCAAGCGCCCTTCATCCCGCCTGGCACGGGGCGAGGGGGAATTGGGGGGGAAATCTTAGGTTTTTTGGGGGTTTGGTGGTGGTGTTGGAGACGCAGTGAAAAGGCGGATGGCTGGGGGAAATGCAGCCGAGATGGCTGAGCTCTCCCGGCCGGGGGGCTGCGGGAAAAGCCTGCCTCATCCTTGGCAGGGGTCGCTTTTCCCCCTTCCAAAAATTGATGCAGAGGCCGGGCAGAGCCTGGCACCCCCGGCTGCGGCACTGCCAGCCCGGGCGGAGGGGAGGCAGGGAGAAGAGGTGACCTCTCCTCCGCTCTCAGTCGCCCACCCCGAGCCGCTGGCAAAGCTGCCTAAAAACAAAAAAATAAGGCAGCGCTCGGAAATAAAGTCGATGCCGGGAGGGGAACGGGGCGGGGGTGCGGCAGGGCTGCGGCGCTGTGCCCAGGCTGTGCCCGCTGCCAGACCTCCTCTGCTGGAGGAGGGTCATTTTCCTCATTTTACCCCCCACTCCCGAGGCTGAAAATGGGGGAGAAACGCTGAAAAACTGGACAAATTTGGTGCATACCAAGGTTTTTTAGCCGGTCATCCCCGCGCTGGAAGGACGGGGGAAGGAGGGGGTGCAGCCCCTCCCTGAGCTTCCACCAGTGTCTGGCCATTTTGGCTTGCCACCATCTCGGGGGTTGGGGTTGCTTTTTTTTTTTTTTTTTCCTTTTTTTTTTTTTTTTTTCTCTTTTCCGAGCGAGGGGAAGAGCTGGAAGAAGGGTTTGCTCGGAGGAACGGCACGACCGGCCCTGGAGCCTGCCCGCAGCCCGGCCCCGGCGGCGGGGGTCGGCCGGCCGCTTCCTCCCTCCCATCCCCGGGCTGCCATCCAGCCATCCCATCCCGCTTTGAAACTTCACAGTGCCAAAAAAAAAAAAAATAAAAAAAAAAAGGGGGGAAGTCGAAGGGGTGGCTGAGGATGCACGGAGCCGGAGGGACGAGCGAGGGGTCTCCCGGGCTGGCCGGGCATTTCTCACCGACCGCCGGCTTTTATCAAAGAGGGAGGAAAAAAAAAAACACCAAAACAACCCGTATCGGTTGATTTTGGGGCTCCCCGCACCTCTTTCCGGCGAGCTGCCCTTCTCCCTGCCAGGAAAATCCCCCCCGCGCTGTGTTTTGGGGAGGGGAGGGTGAAAATCAGGGTGCTGCTGTCCGCACGGGATGCGTGAGGCTGTGCCCGCACACTCGCTTGTTTGCGGGAGGGAAAATGTATCTCTCTTTTAATGGGCGGAATGAGCCTCGTTGAAACTACGCGGGGAGCGTAGGGAGAAGAAATCTGGGCGCTGTGCGGAGAGGTGACTTTTGTAAGCGCCGGGGCTGCCAGGGGAGGCTGAAGCAAAACGGCAAACGAAGCCAAAATCCCCTTTTCCAGCCACCTCTCCCCGTGACCCGCAGTGGTTCCCGAGGAAAAGCCCCCCGCACGCCGCGGTGCCGCTGGCGGGGCGCCCGCAGCCCGGCGAGAAAACCTGCTGCTGGGGAATGTTTCTACTGAGATGGAGCTCCCAGATAAAAATAACCTTGGGAGAAAAAAAATTAAAAAAAAAAAAAAAGGAAAAGGAAAAGAAAAAAGAGAAGAAGAAGAAGAAGAAGAAGAAAAAAAAGATCATTCAGCTTTCCTCAGTTAGGTATCTGATCACCCCTTCACCCCCCGCCACCTCCCCCGCTGCCTCTGCATACCTGAGGTGCTGGATTATTGTCAGAGGACAGGCAGATGCAGTAATTGTTTTGTACAGCTTTGTTTATCTCCTGCTTTGGAGTTTATCTCAGGAATTCTCCTCCCCTGGTCCTGGGCAGAGTATAAATATCCCCCCGCCAAGGAACCGGGTAACGAATGAGAAGGTTCCCGTGGTCCCGGCAGCGAGGTCCTGCCCCGGCGGAACGGGCAGGGACCACCGGGGTCCGGGAGGTTGGAAGTTTTTATCGGTAACTTGGGTCCGCCCGGGAGCGAAATATTTGAAGTGCAGCACCTTGAACACGTTTAATTATGGGGTAGTAGCAAAGCGAGAGCTTCCAGGTAATTAGAAAATACTTCTTGGGAGACAGGCTAATCGCTTTTCATGGGGAGCTTGAAGAAATTAACCTCTAGGTGCTTGTTTGAGCAAAACAACTTCGGATCAGCGAGGGCTGGGCTTCGCTGATGGACCCGACCCGCTGCGGAACACAAAGGAAAAGGGGGAAATATATTTAAAATAAAATAAAAATGAAATATTAAAGGAAATTTAAAAGGGGAAAAAGAAAAGGGGGGGGAGTGAGTAGGAGAAGAAGAAGAGGCGAGGAAGGGCTCCCTGTCGCTTTCCCCTCAAGGCGGGGAGGTCCGTGTCACCCGCAGGGAAGCCTCCTCCAAATAAAAATGTCACTTCTCGGGGAAAGCCGGGGGTCGGGGTGCGGCGGCCACCGGAGCCGAGCCGCTCCCCCCCCCCTCCCCCGGCCCTGCTCGGCCCTCGCCG